GCTGTATGAAAAGTGAATTTACTCTGTAAATCTTCACCCAAATCCTAATTAAAAAAAAAAAAAAAAAATTTCATCTGAAGATATAATAATCATTAAAGAGGGAAAATAGCCTTATACTTAAATAAATTACTTACCATCACCAGCAGTATCTAGAGATCTAAGATACTGTAATTCTTCTGCTGCCTTATCTCTGACTGCTTCTAGTTCTCCAATATTGTCACTCAATTTAATAATGTTCATAAAGGCCTCATAGTTGCAATTAATATCACGGATCTGAAAATAAAATTTTTTAAAGTGGTATTCATTTATGAAGAGGAAAACAGAATCTTAAGTGCCTACTATATGTTGAGCAGCATTGACTATATCCCCAATGCCTACAAAAAAACAAATGATAACCCTGTATTCATGGACTTACATTCTAGTCGGTCCAGACTAATAAACAAGATAAATAAAATATATACCATGCTAGAGTACAGAAGTATACACAAAATGTTTGATGATAACAAAGAAGTCATGATGGCTGGAAATGATGTATATACGTAATGCTTATTGAAACATAAGCAAAAAATGCATTTAAGCTTCCATTTCCACTGACTTCAAGCAGGAATAAAAATGATGGGAAAAAGGAACTAGGCTTCAGTAGCAAATGACACATTATCAACTGTCTAACCTATATGTATAACTGGAGTGCCAAAAGTGGAGACTGATATTCCTTAACTTTAACTTGCAGATTGAATAAGCTCAGAGAACATTAAATCGGATTAATGAAAAGAAAACTACACTTAGTCATATCATAAACAAACTGGTGAAAACCAAAGACGAACAGAAAATCATCAAAGAAGCCAAAGGAAAAAAAGATACATTACATGCAGGAAATCAACAACACAAATGCAGTCGACTTATTAGAAACAAAGGAAGTAAGAAAAATATTTTTTAAAGTGCTGAAACTATCAGGCCAGAACTATAGCCAATAAAAATATTCTTCAAAATCTACAGTGAAATGTATTTTCAGATCATTAGAAGCTTAGAGAATTTGTCACCAGTGAACCTACAATACAGAGAATGCTAAAGGAAGTGCTTCAGAATGAAGGGAAATGACAACAAATTGAGAGATGGCTCTAAACAAAGGAATGAAAAGCACTGAAAATGATAAATATGGTGGTAAGTGTAAAAGATTATTTTTTCTCTATTCTTAGTTTCTCTAGAAGACAACTATCTAATGCAAAAAAGCAAAATGGTACATGGTGGAATACATTAAGTATGTATATATAAAATATATTATGATAAAAGCACAAAAGACAGGAGTTTAATTATCCTGTTTCAAGGTTCTTTATATTTTATGTAAAGTGGTAAAGTATCACCTGTAAGCAGATGATAACTTAAGGAGGTACACTGTAATCCCTAGAGCAAGTGCTAAACTAATGAGGAGGAGGAGGATACACCTGTACAGCTCAAAAGCCATTTGAGTAATTAAACTACAATACTAAGAACTATTCAATTAACTCAAGAGAAAGTGAAAGAGGGACCACAGAATAACACAAAATTTTAACAGAAAACAAGTACCAAAATAGTAAACCTAAATCATATCAATAATTATACTAAATATAAATGGACTAAAGACTTCCATTAAAAAACAGATTATTAGATTAATGAAAAAAGAGCGAGACCCAATTATATGCTGTTTATAAAGAAAGTATTTTAAAGATGCCAGTTGAAAAAGGGAAGCATTTTACAATTAAAGACATCACTTAAATGTAATGGAAAAAGATAAATCATAAAAACAGTAACCATAAGAAAGCTAGTGTGGCTCTATCAAAATAAAGTGGACCTAAAGATAAGTAGTATGGCCAGAGATAAAGGGGGTCATTTTATAATGACAGAAAGTCAATTCATCAAAAAGACCTAAGAATCATAAGTGGGTATGAACCTGACAATACAGCTTCAAAATATTAAACTAAAATGAACAACAGACAAACCCATAAACATAGAGATTTTAACTATAAGAAACTGTCAGGACTAATACATGTACTCCTAAAAGTTGTAAATATATAAGACCAATTAATAAAGCATCTATAGCTATATATTAGCACCAAACCCATAAACAAATTCCTTGCTGTTGAGTCAATTACAACTCATACCGATGTTACAGGACAAAGCACAACTACCCCATAGGGTTTCCAAGGCTACGATATTTACAGAAGAAGCCTGATACATCTTTCTCCCACACAGCAGCTGGTGGGTTCAAACTGCCAACTTTTCAGTTAGCAGCTGACTTCTTAACCACTGTGTCAACATACATACTAGCACATAATAGCAAGATGTAAACTTTTAATCACATTTACAATAGCATGAAAAAATAAAACCTGTACAGAACTATAAAATGATGCTGAGAGAAATTAAAGAAAATACAAGTAACTGGAGTATTATCACGTCCCTGAATTAAAAGACTCAATGTTGTTTAAGATGTCAAGTCATCCCAAATTAATCTACTGAATTCAATGCAATCATAATCAAAATTCTTACACGTTTTTAGTAGATATCCAAAGTTAATGATAAAATTTATATGGAAAGCAAAGGACTTTGAACAGTCAAAACAATCTTGAAGAAAAAGAACAAACATGGAGGACTCACACTATTTGATTTCAAGATTTACTATATAGCTATAGCAATCATGTTAGTGTAGTATTTGCTTAAGGACATATAAACAGATCAATGGAAAAGAATACTGTCCAAAATTAGACCCAAACATATTGTGGTAAACTGATTTTTTACTAAGGTGCCAAGGCTATCAGTTCTATGGGGAAAAGTAAGTCTTTTCAAGAAACAGTGTTCAAAAAATTAGCTGTCCATACAGAAGGGAAAAAAATGAACCCTGACTTCTATTTCAACCCACACGCAAAACTTAATTTGAGGTAAATCATAGACCTAAATATAAAAGTTAAAATTATTAAACTTCTAAAAGCAAGCATAGGAAAATAACCACACAACCTTCAAGTACACAGATTGCTTAGAACAGACATAGACAAATGAGACTTCATTAAAATTTAAAAGCTCCATTCATCAAAGGGCTCCATTTTAAAAGGAAAATAGCAAGGCAGTGATAAATATTCATAATACATATATATGACAAAGGTCTTGTTTGAAGCATATATGAAGCACTACTACACATCAGTAACAAAAAGCTTAAAAATCAGGTAAGGGAAAAATGGGCACTTGAAAAGTCACTTACAAAAATATACACAATTGGCCAATGAGCACATGAAAACTACTCAATGTCATTAGACATCAAGGAAATACAAGTTAACTACAAAAAGGTATCATTTCACACTGGCAAGAGAAGTTAAAATTTAAAAGATTTACAATATTAAATGCTGATGAGACTACGAAGCAATCAAACTCTCAAACATGACTTGCTGAAGTATAAAATGATACAACCCTGGAAAAACTACCTGGAAGTTTCTTATAAAGTTAAACATATATTTACCTTATGATCTATGCTAATTCCACCCCTAATCATTTACTCAAAGGAAATTTGAAAACATATATACGTATACATGGGAAGATCAATGTATGTTTCCTTCAACAAAGGAAAATGGAAATATAAAAAGTATATAGATAGGAATAAAAATAATTGCTAACTCATTCCAGTAAACATATATTTAATGTGCCTGATGAATGAAAAAACTACTATTGAATTATCTGCTTAAAGACATACCAGCAACACAGAGAAACAGGCCTAAAACACAAATCTGATTTCCAGTCTAATTTCCCTTCCACCATCTCTCTTCCCCATTACATAATACTAAATGTGAAGTATATCCTACTTAAGTACTTTACATCACAAGTTGTCTTGAAAACCAAATAGTAGCTTTTAAAATCATCATCTATATCTGCAGGCAGGGAAAAATTCTTTTTTAAAATAAGTGGTAAACCAAAATTACCAAACTCACTGCCGTCAAGTTTGATCCGACTCATTGCGACCCCTCCTTGGGTTTCCGAGGCAGTATCTCTATGGAAGTAGATTGCTTAACCTTCCTTCCGAGGAGTGGCTGGTAGGTCTGAACCACCAGCCTTCTGGTTAGCAGTCAAATGCCTTAAGCACTATGCTACCAGAGCTCCTAAGTAAGTAGTAGCAGTGTCATAATTTCAAGGAAGATTAACTTATTAATGAACATCTTGAAGAGAATTTGGCTAGCACATTCAACACATTAATAAATACAACTATTAGAAATATAAGGGCTATCTGCAGAAACATTTTTCTTTCTTTAATAAAGTATTGGTTAATCACCTTGATCTCTAAACTGTATTCTCATATTTAAAATATTGCAATAAAAAATGGAGGTCTAATTTTAAAAAGTACTTACCATCCATATGACATACTGATTAATATAATCAGGATCACTGAGTTGATTTATTAATGGAAGAAGAATTCCTCGTGCAAGGATTTCCTGGAAAAAAAGGAAAAATATTAAAAATATTCACCTCATATATTTCTCAAATCCACAGCATAATGTAAATTTAGTAATACAATGCTGTTAAGAAAAGTATGGTAATATGTGAAAGTCAAACTTTATAACCAACATAAACTTATAAAAAGATGATCTACTATAATATATATTAATAAAATAATGAAATAAAGCTACCTATATCAACTTGGATACATCTCTGCAAATAAGAGTTGAGTTTAAAAAAATAAAAGGACATTTCTAGTATATTACTACTTATGTCAACTTAGGACCACAGGTGTGGTGTTTAAGGATTCATATAGCTATAATAAAAGTATAAAAACAGAAGAAAAGGAAAGGCTACACACCAATTTCAGGACAGTGGTTCATTTATAGTATTATTTTCTACTTTCCTATTTCTGACTTTTTCTAATAGAAAATAATAAAAATAAAATGTTAATATAATCTACTCACCATTCTTTAGAATACAGAATATACATTCCCATCTTTTACAGCTGTTTATGCTCCTACCTAAGAATTTCTGCCCTTCAAGGGCTAACTGCAGAATCAATTATCCTATTAAAAATTGTCATCATTCCGGATGAACATTTTTTCACTTGCATGCTTAAAATATACTCCCCTGCCCTGTATTTATCACTTACCACTGTCTATGTAATTGTTGATCTTATACATCTCTAAAACACTACATCTACCTAGAACTCCCTGTATATGAGAGACTGGTCAACTGATCTACTGATTTCTCTATATTCAGAAATATTTACTCCCCTCATCTTCTCAAGCTCATTTGTCTTTAACATGGTAGGCACGTGATACCAAATGAATGGAAATAAAGGAACTAAGAGTTTAGTCCTCATTCCATTGTGTTAGCTGAATTTATGAAACATCATCTTTAAAGGATACTGGAAAGGCTAAGTAGTTAACAGGATGATTCACTTTTCTAAGTAAACAAACAAACAAAAAAAAACCCACTGCCATCAAGTTGATTCTGATTCACAGCAACCCCCACTGGGTTTCCGAGGTGGTAAATCTTTATGGAAGTACACTGTACAGTCTTGCTTCCATGGAGTGGCTGGTGGGTTTGAACTACCAACCTTCTGGTTAGCAGTCAGATGCCTAAGCACTGTGCTACTAGAGCTCCTTCTAAGTAAAGAAGCAGTTTATTCTTTCTGTCTTTCCAGATCTCTAATTGATCTGGACCATGTTCTGGTATAGGTTCACAGAACGTGACCTTTGTTTTATTTTTCTTCACAAGGATATTTTATATAAATCTGATTTTTATAAGTTTTAGACTTCTCTAACAAATATCACATCATAATAAATTAGTATTTCAAAAAGGTACTAATGGAGGCTCCAGGAACTTTCTGAAATGTCTCTCAAGAGACACTACATTCCCAAATTAAAAGGAATTGCCTGATTTTTCAAGGATAGAAAAGATAGAGAAAAATGTTCTAAATTTTTGGCAATTATATTTACTTATATAATTTCTTACTTCCAATTATGCCTCTGGCTCCATATAGTCAAATTTTTTAAATGGACTTTGTAAGGAAAAAAAATCACAATGAAAATATTTTTCTTATGTTTTTTTTCCAAAATGAGAAAAAAACACAAGATTCTGAAATAATTTTTTAGTAATTTTATTATCTCTTATGAATTAATCCAACTAGCTGCTGTGTGTTAGAAAACTGCTTTGATTTCCTAATCTGCCTCATAAAAGGCTTGGTTAGACAAAAGCAAATCATATGACCCAATAATCCTAGTACAGGTACCAGTGAGAACTCTAAATATTCTAAAATAAGTAGACATGCCCATGTAATTCCTACTTTAAGGCTCCCAATTTCATACAACACTAGCTACCGAATATGAGGGCCTAAAAGGTACAAAGTCATTTAGGATGTAAATCTTTAAATGAATAAAAAGTAGGTATGGAAAGAAACAGAGGAAATTTAGTAGCAAATTACTTTAGTCAAATACTCTGGTTTGTAAAATCCATATGAAAAACGGGAAAGACAAACTCTAAGTATGTCACCCTTTGGGACAACTTGGATGTAACTGATTACTCATAACAAAAGAAAATTGATAAAGAATTTCTATCAAGGTGAAAGGAAAACAAAACTGATTTTGTTGAATGCAATGCTCTGTAATTTTCCTCACTCAATTAGAGTAAAACAAAAAGAAATGAAATACTAGGCTAAAAGAACAACTTTTAGCAAACTTACTTCCTTATGGTGACCTCATATATTATAGAGTAGAATTATTCCATAGACAAATTCTTGGCTGCAATATTTACAGAAGCAGATGGCCAGGCCTTTCTTCCACACAATTGGGTGGGTTCAAACCACCAACCTTTTAGGTCAAGCACAGGTCAAGGTAGTCAAGCACAAACTGTTTGCCTCATCCAAACTGGGTGCTCAGGGGAAGCATTTCTGAGGATATGACATTAAACGAGATGTAAGGGATAAATACAATTTAGCCAAGAGGAAAAGGAGAATATCTTTCTGGGTAGAAGTGAAAAAAGAGACAGCCCTGTGAAGGCAGAAAGAATGGTACTTTGAAAGAAGAAAACTAGTGTGGCTGGAATATGTAAGCTTGAAAGGTAAGCACTGCCACATTAAGCAGGGCTTTGTAGTAAGTCCCTGGAAATTAGATGCTATCAATGGTGAGCTATAAAAAAGGAGTTTGTACAAGGCACTGACATGATTTCAACACTTTAAAAACCATTCCAACCATAAAATGAGGATAAAGTTAAAGGGGAGAAATTGAAATATAAGGATGTCTAAGAGGCTTGAACGATGAAGGTGGCTTGGGAAGAACCGGAACTTTGAAAATGGAAAAAGAGTGAAAAGATTAAAGACAACATTTTAAAGACAGAATCAACAGGATTTGGTGATGGACTGGATATGGAGTGTGAGGGAAATGCTGGGAGGATCAATAATGACTTCCAAGACCTGTATGAAAATTTTGGTAGATGCTCATTCCATTTACCAGGATAGAGAAAAGATTAAAAGGCAAACAGCATATGGAGACAAGAGTAAGACTTCCAGTTTGGACATGTTGAGTTCAAAAGGCCCACGAGTGTTACTCAAGTGGTGATTGCAAGTGAGCAGCTGGTCAGAGGAGTCTGGAGCTCAGAAGGGAACTAAAGATATAAATTAAAAAGTCATAAGCATTCGGATGGTATCTAAAGCCGTAAGAATAAATGATTTCACCCAAGGAAGAAATGAAGTAAGAGAAGAGGGACAAGGACTAAAGAGCTTGAATATTTAACTATCACACAGAAGTGGAGTTAAGGGCTATAAACATGATGTAAAAAACAAGACCAGAGGAGGAAAGAAATGAGAAAATAGCAGTGACATGAAAGATAAGAAAATACGAGTTTCAAGAAGGAAAAAGATGATGAGCCATGTCAAATGCTACTAGGCGTACCTAATGGTGGCTGTTTGGAGAAACATATAGACAAAGTTTCTGGCACAAATGGATATTCACCAGGAATGAGTGCTATAACCCATGATTCTCAAGATCTTCTTTTCATCATATATGTGAATGTAGTGATAACCACACAAGGTTTTTATCATGCTTGATTACGACTCCCCACCAAAACTAAGCATTTTCTACTCACCCAAAGGACCCAAACCAGCTGTTGTCAAGTCAATGCTGACTCATGGAGATCCTAAAGGATAGAATAGAACTGTCCCATAGGGTTTTCAAAGCTATGCATCTTTACAAAAACAAACTACTACAACTTTCTTATGTGGAGGGCTTTGGGTTTGAACTACTGACCTTGTGGTTAGCAGCCGAATATTTTAACCATTATGTCACCAAGGCTCCTCACTTAAAGGATTCATACCATTGATATACCTGAAATGTGCCTGAACTCAAGGTAAGTGAGTATTAGGAAACTGTGTGGCACTGCTTAAATAGTTAACATACAAGCATAAAAACACACTTCAGGAATTGGTATCTGTCTTTCTGGAAATGATAAACTACAGAGATCATAAGCTTTCATTGTTAGGAATATTGGAAACTTTCACTTTTCCCATGCAATCCGGATGTTGTTGTTGTTGTTGTTGTTATGTACTGTCGAGTCAGACCCGACTCAAAGTGATCCCTCCTTGGGTTTTCGAGGCAGTATCACTACAGAAGTAGATTGCCCAACCTTCCTTCCAAGGAGTGGCTGGTGAGTTTGAACCGCCAGCCTTCTGGTTAGCAGTCAAGTGCCTTAGGCACTATGCTACCAGAGCTCCTTACAATCCGGATAGGATCTTATTATTTAGTTAAGAGCTTTCACAATCATAACCAGCTACCAAAGCCAAATGGTATTCCTTTGTATCCCCACAGTAACAGTGTATCAGGATCCTAGACCAAAAATTTTGAGAATCACCACCCTCAGTTTCTTTACAACTATTATTTGGTATGAATTTAAGCTTACCCTGACAAAGTATCGCATGATCTTGTTCTGGAAATCTCCAGGAGGTAGCAATAAATATAGTAAGACCTCACACAAATCCCTGAGGAATCCTAGCAACAGAAGTGATAGATGTAACAGTAGGAAACATAAAATCACCATCCATATTAAAATTAAACATATAAATGAAGGTAGAAACAAGCCATTTCCTAATTATACTAACTTATTACTTCAGTGATTAGTATCAGTGTTCACAAAAACTTCTTTCACTATTTTCCAAATAGTGACTATTCATTAATCAAACAGTGTATTTTAATTATGCTCATTTTCAACCAGTATTTTGTAGAAGAAATATTAAATAAAAGTTTGGTTCCCCCCCCGAAAAAACAATCATTTTATTTATAGCATGCCTTACGAGCTTCTATGACATATTAATTATCTTTTGCACACTTAACAGTTATTTGTGCATTTGAAAAAATACCTATAATTCTCTCAAGAAAGAATCTCCACTACCCTGGCCAGCAATAACAAGGGAAAAAGTATATGCTCTTCTACTCTACTGATATAAAGAGTTCAATTTACATAAAAGTACTGTACATCATTGTATCTATTTCTTACTTTTAGTCATCATTTCTTAACAGTGCTAAAAAAATGGCAATTAAAAACGGAATTTTAAAATAAATATTAAAAGGAAAAAGAGGAAAGGAAGGCAGAAAAAAGAAAAAAAAAGTTGACCACATTTTCAAAACCTAAGAAAACAATTTATACAACTAGAAATGCTTGTCCATAGTTGTTCTTATGCTAACACTGCCTGGCAATACTATTACATAGATGATCTTGTTAATCAAAAATGTGCCAAGCAGCAAGGAACTCTTAGTAATTGGAAAACTGGGAAAAAGGAACATCCTCAGTTAGAACTCATCTGGTATAACTACCCACATGCAAAAGATGAGTTCATTCAAATCTATCAAGTTTATTTAAAATAATTATAATCATTCTCTTACAAAACATTTTAGGATAACAGTTTTGTTCTTTAAGCAAAAATAATAAACTCAACTGGCAGATAAATAATATAGATGAAAATGCAAATCTTCAATTACAGAATGTGTTTGCTATATTTTAAAAGCAAGTATTTATTTAGAAACAAGTTACTTTTTAAAGTTGACTTTTAAAAGAGAAAAAAATCTGCAAACCACTTTTAAGATCAAAAAATTAAATTGAATAAAATGAACAATAACAGTCTCTTTACTAAGTAAGATTAATTTCACCTTCAGATTTTACCCTTTGGTTTTTTCATTAGTGCTGCTAATCTGTTTCTACTCAATCTGTATAGTACTGTTCTCAAAAGAGTTAAACTGAAGAGTAACCTTCTTCATCTTTGGGAGAAGTACAGACTAGATCACGGCAAATTTCCTTCTCCATTTCAACTTCAACTTCAAAGAAGGTATCTACAAGATCTTCTGCTGTACCTGGAGACAAACAGAGGTACAATTTAAGATATACAACTGATAAAGAAAAATAGATTTTAAAATCTTAATTTTCACATGGAATAAAAACATTACCTTTCACTTGATCATCTTTCTCTGTTATTTTCTGTTGAGCTTTTCTGAATACTCGCAGATGTGTGCCAAAATCATCTACAATGCGCGTAGTAAAATAAGGTTGCCAGTCTATTTCTTTCGACCTTGCAGAAAACACATTATAGGAAAGCATTATAAAAATGCTTTTTATGTAAAAATATATATCTACTTTAATGACTAGTAAGAGATAACATTATTATCACAGAGACTGTGAATTTTTTACACAGAGTTTTTTTGTTTGTTTGTTATTACTACTACATCTTTGGGAGTTCTGGTGGCATAGTGCCTAAGGCATATGACTGCTAACCAGAAGGCTGGCTGTTCAAACCCGCCAGCCACTCCTCAGGAGGAGGGTTGGGCAATCTACTTCCATAGTGAAACCGCCTTGGAAACCCAACGAGCGGTCGCTATGAGTTGGATCCAACTCGAAGGCACTGCGTTGCATTACTACATCTTAGCACTCAGCTTTGTAAGACCCAAAGTGTATCAAATCTACTTCACAAAGTTTTATAACAAAATGATGTTAAGTATGTTATATGTCAAAGCTTAAAAAAACTATTTAAATGCCTAAAATAAACTATTTTTTCCAATAAAATCTGAAATGAGTCTGATAATGGGTAGAATATGTGATCTGTCAGCTCAGACATTATATAATACAAATGGATTGAGAATGTTTCTGCTTGCTTTTAAAAGACTGAGATATATTTTTGGTTTCTTCTAAACTCTTTCTTAGGTAGTTCTGGTGGCGTAGTGCCCAAGGCATTTGACTGCTAACCAGAAGGCTGGCAGTTCAAACCCACCAGCCACTCCTCGGAAGGAAGATGGGGCAATCTACTTCCATAGTGATACCACCTCGGAAATCCAAGGAGGGGTCGCTATGAGTCAGATACGAATCGATGGCAGTGAGTGTGTATGTGTACGTAAACCCTTTCTCAGTTCTCCACATTCTTTGTTTTTCACACAACCCAAGTTCTGAAACTAAATGAACCTGAATGACTTCTGTTTGAATATGTTGTTGTTGTTGTTATGTGCCGTCGAGTCGGCCCCAACTCATAGAGACCCTCCTTGGGTTTCCGAGGCAGTTATCACTACGGAAGTAGATTGCCCCATCTTCCTTCCGAGGAGTAGCTGGTGGGTTTAAACTGCCAGCCTTCTGGTCAGCAGTCGAGTGCCTTAGGCACTATGCTACCAGAGCTCCTCTATTTTGAATACAGCAGCCCTCAATAACTTGGCCATCAGAAATAACTACAGTCACACATAATGTAAATGTAAAATAACAATAACGTAAAACACCACACATAAAAAAAAAAAACCTCTAACATACTCATGATGAAGGTGATTACTACTTATATAAAGCTACCTCCTGCTCTATTCAAATGCCACAGACCTCAGCAAACATTAAAGAATATTAATACTTTTACTAATCCAGTACACAAATGAAAAAGATAGCAAAACAGATCATCCCAAAACAATCTATATCTGTATTTAAGTGATATTTTAAAATAAATACTTTTTTCAATGTTGGTTTTCTTAAAATAGCACTAAAAAAGAATTCATCCTTTTAAGAACATACTACATAGATGAAATACAAAGACACTATTCATAATGATGCCAGGCAATGAGGGAGCAAAAAAGAACAAGGTAATTCATTATGTTAATTGCCCACATGTGTATAATAAACATGGCTGTGAAGAAGTTGACTGCTACTTTTTGAGAGACAACTTTTAAGGCTATTGATTGTATTGAGTATTGAGGAATATAAGAGATGGCTGTTTTCAAATAAAAATACAAGTTAAATATATTTTTAAAACTGCATATCTATAGTTTTGCTATATATATGGAAAAAAAGTACTTGAAGACAAAATCAAATTAACATGAAAAAGGTAACCTAATTCTGAAGTCTGTGGAAGGATTAACATCAATTATAATGTAAAGAGTCACACATACAGGCATATACTAAACTTGGTAACAATATTCAGCCTCAACACAAAAAAGAAAGAAAAACTTAAATCTCCAAAGCTCTAAAGAGTTTTCAATTTTTTTAAAAATTATAATCTGTTTAAGCTTCTTCAAAAATTCTTACATGAATATTTATCCAAAATCATCTATACTTGAACACCTTATAAACACAGAATTTACTTAGCATAATAGGTCACTGAAAGACAAACTATATAGTTAAATTTTAAAATACTTTTGTATTTTTGCACTGCTTGTTAATTTTCATTCATTTTACATGTCATTACATTCTCCATGATGAATTGAGATGGATTAAAAATTCCTTCTAAAATTGGTCAATTATATTTTGTCTGAAAATTTCCTTTTTCTCCCCCACATTCACATTCAGAAGAGACTTTTCCCTCTATCAGGTTTATTCACCCTGCCCACCCTCCACAAATTTCCCTTCTCTCCTCCCCATATTCACCTGACAATTCCCATTTATTCTTCAGAGTTCATCTCAAGTGTCAATTCCAAATGGAAGCCTTTACTGCCCCTGCCCCCCACTTACTGCCTCAGGCTAGTCTGGCTCCCAGGTTATTATATATTCCTATAGCATAAGTACTTTACTCCATAAAAGGTTCATTCTAACAAATTTAGGAAAAAACAATACACATCTATTCAATTTATATTTGTTATGCTTCAAAGTACAATGCTATTGTTTAATTTACCATTTTTTTTTTAACTTTTCATTGTGATTCGGGTGAAAGTTTACAGAACAAATTATTTTTCCATACAGCAGTTCATACACATCTTATTTCATAACACTGATTACAATTCCCTATATTAACAGCTCTCTTCCCTCTTCTTCCCTGTACCTCTTCCCTGTGTCCTTCTTTCCCAAGTATTCCTGCCCCCTGGGCTATCTCCCTGTGTAAGTACTGCCCTTCTGTTCTCCCAAAATCGATTGATCATTCTAAGGAGTGTATCTACCTATGTAAATGTTCACTCTATATGCCTGTCTACTGTTTGGCTGGAAGCCACAGGAGTGCATTCACTTCCAGACCTGAAGGATTACTAGGGGCCATGGTCTTGGGGTCTCACCAGGCTCTATCAGACCAGTGAATGTACTCTTTTTTATGATTTTCAGTTTCGTTCCACATTTTTCTCCCACTCTATCAAGGATCTCCTGCACTGATCCTTTCCAAGTGCTGACAGTGGTAGCGGGGCACCATCTACTTCTTCTGGTCTCATGGTCATATAGGCTGAGGTGTGCATGGTCTACTAGTCCCTTGGACTGACTGTTTCCATGCATCTTTGGTTTTCTTCATTCTTCTTCACTCTGGATGAGGAGAGACCCACTACTGCATCTAGATAGCTGCTTGCAAGCTTTAGACCCCAGTCACTACTCACCAAAGTAGGATGCAGAACAATGCTTTTGTGTAGTATGTTATGCCAATTGAGCTTGATGTCCCCTGTGACCATAGTCCCAAACCCAGAAGTCTAACTACTCATTCCTTCAGGGTGGTTGACTATGCCTAAGAAGTTATCCTAACTTTGCCCCACTAGTTCTAGTTATATGGACATTCTTACAACACATACAAATATGTATCTAGAAATATCACCTGCCAACTTTATATATGGTCACAGGTATATTCCCTTTTGTCTAGACATACTTGATCCTTCAGCTGTCTATCAATCTATTTACCCACAAATTAATAATACCACTGATAACACAGAACTGTATACATCAAAGGGTTTATTTTTGTTGTCTGTACCTCTTGTGCACCTCTCTGTGTCTTCCTTTTCCTTATTATTATTGTGTTGCTCACTATTTCTGGTATACTGCCATTCCCTTCACCCAAATCAATACCTGCCTCTACCAATCAGCAGTGTTAATTTACCAAAACTTTTAAATAAAGTATAATTTACCAATTTTAGAAGTCATTTTAAATGCATCTCAATTCATTATAGAGAATGTATTCTAGATGTCTACTCAGTCACTATTTAATCTTTGGTTGAATCACTTCCCCCTGAGTGTGTGCAAACCCAGTGGAAAGCTCAACTAAAGTTATATGTCTAGATTAGACAAAAAAGAACAATAGTACACTTTCTCCCATTATAAATCAGGAGAATATCTAACAATTTCTAATAGTACTTCTCTTAACAAAATTAGAAAATTTTTTGGTGACAATGAAGTACTTTCTAAAATTATGATGTATGTATGCAATAAATGGATTGTGAATATGAATCAATTACAAATAATTCAATTTATATAAGTTACACCTCCTTGTATTGCACTCACAGTACAGCTTCCTAAGGGTTAATTATTCTTAAGTTAAGCCTATAGTCAAAGCTTTTTTTTCCTTTTGTTTAAAATATTCCCTCACAATTCTTGATCTAGTTAAAAAAGAAAAAGGATAATTAAACAACAGATCTTAACACCTACCCTACTTCCATAGTGATACTGCCTCGGAAACCCAAGGAGGGGTTGCTATGAGTCGGGGCTGACTCGACAGCAAATAACAACAACAACAACAAACTTTCATTTAATCATTACTTAAGTTTTCACCCTTGCACTTAAGAGAACATATTTCCTATGTGATAAAGAAAATAAGTGATCACATTCAACTCCACTCTGAAAAAGTATAATTTATAGTAGCCCGTAAAGTTTGTATCAGGGAAGGCCTTCGATGAGATGGATTGACACAGTGGCTGCAATGATTGGCTCAAGTATAGCAAGGATTGTAAGGCTGACACAGGACCAGACAGTGTGTTGTTCTGTTGTACACAGGGTCACTATGAGTCAGAGCCAAGTCAGTGGCACCTAACAGCAACAACAACAAAGTTTATATATCTTGGCAGAATAGTTGCAAGAATTAAGAAGATTAATTGGGAATGTAAGCAAGCAATGAAGTTTTAATTGCAGACCCACAAGCTTTCTCTCAAACTAAAACACACCCCTTTTTATCTGAGTGCCTCAGAACAGACTTTTCCCTCCAAGTTTGTTTACCCTGCTGAAAACAAAAATTTCCCGTATCTCCCCCATATTGATCTGACAATTCCCATTTACATTGTAGAGTTCATTTCAAGTGTCAGTTCCACATGGAAACCTTCACTGACCCCTGTCTTCTCCCTTATTACCTCAGACTAGGTCCATTTACCAGGT